CACACACGCACACGAAATGAAAAGCTGCAGCACTGCGTCAAGCTCGCCCCGTTCTCACCTGGCCCGCGCCGTGTATCTCACGCCCCTTCTCATCCAGCAGCACAGGCTCCACTCCAAAGAACGGCAGCTGAGAGGCCATAAGTAGACGTTATGAGTGCGCAGGGGCAGGAGGGAGGAGCAGGGCGTAATCTAGAGCCACCTTTTGTAATTGTTGCCAATAAGTGATGCCCGCCCCGTGCATGTTTCGCCGCAGGCATATGCGGCAGAAGAGCGCCTTGGCGCCGGCTCAACACCAGACATTGCCGCAGCCGTGAGCGCAGGACAGCGGAGCGCCTCGTCCAAGGAGCGGCTGTAAGGCCAGCAAAAGCGGTCACGGTCTCCTCGACTGCCCCGCCCACCGTGGCACTGCCGGGCTTGGTCTCCCAGGCGAAAGGCATGGGGCTGATCATGGCGGCACCGGTCTCTGCGTTTGGGAGGTTCAAAATTGGCGGGCGCATCATGTGCATTTATAACCAGCATGGATGGTGCTTATACATGCAGACTGCCTGTGCTGCAGCTGGGCCATGAAGTAGCGCGGCGACATGCTGCTAGCCTGGTTCAAGCTCCCACATGGCTCAGACAGGCATGTGATAGGCGGCATATCGATCGGCACACGGCGCACTCACACCCCCCAACACATACACACACGCGCACACAAGCACGCACACGCACACGCACACACGCACACACACTCACACGCACCTGTCTGCCACCAGGTGTCGATGATGGGGCACCGCCCCTCACCCACCACCTGCGTAGCAAGGGCAGACGTGCCAGTTGGTGCCAGACTCGCCCAGGCCGCGCCCCGACCACATTGCCATGCGGCTGTTTTTGGGGAAAGCTGGCGAAGCTCAAATCGCTGCAGCTACCCAGGGTGGCGGAGTGGACACCGTGGCAGATGCCCTGGATCTAACATAAACAAACCTGCCACACATTGACAAAGTACACAACTGCGCTGGGGTGTAGGCAGCTTGATGGCTCAAACACTAAACAAACAGCATGATACCGGAGCACAAACTGCGCGACTCACCTTGTGGAACCATTCCCAGGCGTGTGGGTTGATGGGCTCCCCCACGGTCCCCAGTATCTTCAGGCTGCTGCGGTCGTGTGACGTCACCCACTCGTCACCGTGCTGCATCAGGGCGCGGATCAGGGTCGGCGCCGTGAAGAAGATGCGCACCTGTTTGGTTGGTTGTGTGTGTACGTGTGCATGTCAAGTATACAATACAGGTGTCAGGGCGGTAGGATTCGGAACTGGATGTTCGCAAAAAAATGCACGGGGCTGCCCGGGAAGGCGAGGTGGTCCAACGGGTCCAGCGCGCGCGGCCCTCCTCCCCGCGCCATCAACAAATGCCGATAGCAAAGTTGCCAAGGCCGCGACCTGCGCCCACCCCTCCAGGGCCCGCCCCGCCCACCCTGTACTTCTCCACGAGCCGCCAGCAGCGCCCCGGGTCTGGGTACGCGGGGGTGGAGCCGAAGATGACGACCGTGGCGCCGTTGAGCAGGGGGCCGTAGGTCAGATAGGTGTGGCCCGTGATCCAGCCGCAGTCCGCGGTGCACCTGCGGGGGTTTTGGGGGAGAGGGGTGGCGTGCAGAAGGGCGAGCGTTGGTGGGTGATGGCACGAAGGGTGTATCGGCGTGTCAGGGCAGGCAAGGGGGAGCACCTGCGGGTGGGCGGCGCCAGGAGGGCGGCAGCGGGCTGGCCGCGACGATCCTCTCTGGGGCGCCATGGACCGGACTGGACCGGAATGGAGCGGCCGCCAGTCCGGACTGGACTGGACTGAACTGCTGAACCCCGGCAGTCCAACTGACAGCGTCAGCACTGGGGCGCACCAGTAGACGTCCCCTGGCCTGCAGTCAAAGTAGTACTTTGTCCCTATGCCGGCCTGCACCATGTAGCCGCCCACCTGGAGCAGAGCGTTGATCGTGGACAGCAAGTGCAGGATGTGGGCATGTCAAAACGGGCGAGCCGAGTGAGTTCTCCTTCCCCTGAAGGCTTAAGGCGCGTGGTGTGCAGATAAGACGCCATGCAGGGGTGAAAACTGAAAACACCCCGAACCTGATGGTCAAGTACAAACGCCAGGACAGATGTATGCCAATACAAGAGCCATCCACATGTGCATGCACAGAGAGGGGCACCCTGGCTTGGGGCCCCCTCACCCCGCACCGTGTGCAGGACGCCCTTGGGCTTGCCGGTGGAGCCTGATGTGTAGAGCATGAACAGAGGGTCCTCTGGGTTGGGAGCGGGGGTGGGGTGGGGTGAGGGTGGGGGGAGAAACGGGTCCAGAGCATGAGCACGGTCCTCTTTGGTAGGGTGGAGGGTGGGGCGAGGGGGGGAAAGACAGGCGTCCAGAGCACACGCGGCTGGCCGGGGGTTGGAGGGGGGTGGAGGAGAGCCAGGTGGCGTTTGTTGGGAGGGATATGAGCGCTGTGAAGTTCAGCTGGAGTCGAGAGTTCTGCTTTGATCGGAGCAAGTGTGGCCCAATCAACAGGTACATGACAGTTGCAGACCAAGGACGTGGCAGGCCGCGGCACTCTCGTTGCAGCAGCTCCAAACGGTGGCGTCACACGCGCCACCTGCTGCCGTGGACTAGTCCATGTCAGAACCCCAGCCACACGAATATGATTTGGGACCCACCCGCGTCCATCCACTCTGGCGAGCAGAACTCTGGGCGGCTCCTGATCTCGTCGTGCCACCAGCAGTCTCGGTGGGGCGTCCAGGGGGTCTCCTCCCTGGTGAAGTGCGATTCACAGGCGAGGCGCCAAGTATTAGAGAGGGGCCGCCGCCGCAGGGCTCAGCCGAGCAAAGCGGCTGCAGATGCTAATCGTCGTTTCCTGGCCACGCGGGCAACCCAGTCCACACCAAGTTGCCAGCGCACTCCGCACGCTCAAGCCGAACACCTGCAAGACAATCGCGAATGTAAACGCACCCTTGCAGGACCTTTCGCTGCACAGAAACACCCGTTTTCACTTCCAAAAGCATTCAGGCGCGCGACAAAACGGCCTGCCCCCTCCCCCAGGGCCCCCCCTCACCTGGGCAGCGCGCTCTTCTCGTACACCAGCACGCGCCGCACGTCGCTGTACCCGCTGCCGCGCGCCATCTCCAGTGCGGAATCCACTATGCCCTTCAGGCCCACCCTCTTGGTGCCGCGCATCACGGCGCTGGCGGTGATGATGACGCGCGCCCTGCGGCGCGGGCGGGCGCGTCGGGGCACGCGGTTCAGAGCGGGGTGATGTTGGGCGCGGCGGGTGTGGGGTCTGAGCGGGCGGCGAGAAACTGCCGGGGCTTGCGGGCGGGGCGGCCGGGGCCCGGCTGCGGCAGGACGCCCCGGCGAAGCCGGCGGGGTTGACCTCTCAAGACAGCTGCTGGGGGCCCGGTCAAAACAGTCAATGCGTGCCCTCATGGCATCATAATAGTGCGGAGCCGTCTCCAAACCCTGTCCTGCCAAGCGACACTCCTCCCCTAAAACTTGAAGGCCAAACCACGATCCTGCAAAGCCACCCCTCCCCCCACCAACCATCCAAAAGCCAAACACTACCCGCAACCACACCCTCCCCAGGCCCTGCGCCCCGCCCACCCGCAGTCCTGGACTCGCTGAGCCAGGCTCTCGGCGCTGAACCCGGCAAACACCACAGAGTGGATGGCCCCGATGCGCGCGCAGGCCAGCATGGCGATGGGCAGCTCGCCTGTCGGGGTTGAGGGGTCGCGGTTGCGGGTGTGCATGATTCGAGGCCGGGCGTTGGTCACCGAGGGGAAAAAGATCATGCAGCCATGCGGCACGGCAGGTGCAACCAAGGTGCCAACCACGCACGCCCTATGACGTTGGAGGCACGGGCGCGCGCAGCGCTGGGTCGCAATTTCGAGGGTGGTGGCGTGATCTGGAGATCTTAGCGATCTAGGCGATCTGGCGCCGCTCACAGATCATTGGGAGGTAGAGGACGACGTTGTCGCCCTTGCGCACGCCCTGGCCGCGCAGCCAGTTCGCCTGACGGGGTTGGGCGGGGCGTAAGGCGAGACAGTCAGAAGTGGGGTCGACTTTGCAGTGAGCTCAACGGGCAGCGCGGGGCTGGCTGAAATGAGCAGCACTCGCATTGCCTCTTGGTGGGCGTCGCGTCCTCATGTGTCCTGCAAAAGCATGTGCTCGGTGGTGAATTCGTTTCTGTCTACGGTGTTGAGTAGATGCTGAATTGACCCCTGTTTCTGACGGCTGCGGGCCTCACCACTCTGCAGACCTCCGTGAGGACCTGCTGGTACCTGCAGCGGGGCCCGGATCAGATCAGATCAGATTGCAGGATCGCGGTGAGATCACTGGCCGCAAAACCAGCCACCTTCACCCCTTCCAGCGACTTCGGACGCAGCTCATTTACTCAACCTCGCTCCCTCGTCCCCGCGTTCTGCTGTTTGCACCAGCCTTCAGCACCCCCACCCTGCCCAACGCCGTCAGCGCCAATTGCCCCAGATCAGATCACAGGGGGTTGTGATCGAGCCTCACGTCATGGTCTTCTCGTGGCCGAGGTTGTTCCCCTCGGATATGAAGCACACGCGGTTCCCATTGCCGGCGATGACCCATCTGACGTTATTGGACACGTATGTGTGTGTGTGTGTGTGTGCGCGCGTGCGTGCGTGCGTGCGCGCGGGTGTGTATGTGTGTGCGTGTGTGCATGTGTGTGTAATGTGTTTGTATGTGCATTTACGCACGCGTGTGTGTATGTGTTGAATGCACAACAAAGTTGAAGGACGTGAGCAGCTGATGGTGGCCCGGGACCCGTCGCACCGCGCGCAAAGCCCCCAGGCCGCTGCACAAGGTGACGCGCCTGCCGCTCCCAAGCAGTGCACTTCGGCGGGAGCGGCGGCCTCGATCGCCTCGCAGGAATCAGACCACCCTCATCGCAGGCACTTCTGTCCGTGAGCCCCCACACCCACCACACACCCCACTGTCCTTGAGCCTCCACACCCTCCACACACCCCACACACCTAGACACTCAACCGCCCTGGACCCCGCCCCCGTCGCCTGTGCAGCGGCCCCCGCAGTCGCATGCTGACCTGTCGAGGCAGTTGTACGTGATGTTGGTCTTGCCGCCCTTGAACCACTGAATGTGGACGGGACCCCTCCGCGTGTCAAAGTTGTGCACATGGTGGTCTGCATCCCACTGCGGATTTGGCGGGTCACGAGAGGTTGTCAGGGCGGGTCGGGGT